TTCCTTCCTTCCTTCCTTCCTTCCTTCCTTCCTTCCTTCCTTCAATTCCTTCCTTCCTTCCTTCCTTCCTTCCTTCTCTGTGACTCTGTTACTTGAACTGTTTCTGATCTGCTAAGTGTGTTTGTGTAAAACAATGTATTTATCTGCACAGATGTTAATCAATGGTTTCACAGTTTTAAGACTTTAGACAGATTTATTTGCCATTTTGTTAACGCAAGTGTAAAACAAAAAGACATTTCGTTTGGAAACAGCTCACTGGACAATTTCATCTTTTAAAATGCAGCCTTGAAAAATAGTAAAAATGACTGTAAATGTACAGTTCTAACAATTTTTTTGAAATATATATATATAAATAATGATAAAATACAATAATAGAATACAATACAATAACCCATTCTACAAAACATTCAGCAGTCTAATGGCAGTGGGGAAGAAACTGTTGTGGAATCTGCTGGACCTGCATCCAATGCTTCGAAGTCTCTTCCCGGAGGGCAGCAGGGAGAACAGTCCATGATGGGGGTGTGAGGGGTCATTTATAATGTTACAGGCTTGGGGCACACAGCGCTGGAATGAAATGTCTTTAATGGAGGGAAGAGGAGCCCCGATGATCTTCTCTGCTGTTCTCACCACTCTCCTCACTTTCTTCCATTCTGAGGCACTGCAGCCTCCACACCATTTTCTTTCTCTATAGAAGTGTTTTCCTACATGCAAGCATATTCATACCTTTTACCATCTTACTGTAAAGTGAAACTTTTCTTTTTTTTTTTTACTTGAACCCTTCTCATTTTACACTAATGTGGAGTTTCAATAACAGCACAGTTGTATTTGTCTCAGATTTGTTTGTCCCTGTTGTTGGTTAGTTTAACTTTTATAATGTTGATCTTTTTTTGCATTTTTTGTGTATAAGCTTCACCTGTCTATTTGGTTTGCTCCTTTTGGGCAATAAAGGGACAATTTTATTATGTTCTATAAACCAGCATCATTAAATTAGGTTGTTGAATTAAAACCCAATATGACAATTGATCATGTATGTGAATTTTTCTATTTTTTGTTCTCTTTTCCTGTCTTTTTAATCTCTATCTTTTTATAGTCAGACATGGCTAGTGTCCAGTTTCCCACACATACCATAATATTGTATTTTGATTCCTGCTGTTACCTTAGGATGAGAAACTCAGCTGTGATATGGATGCTCTACAGACTGATTTTGTGTGACGATAAGATTCCAAACTAATGCTTGTTTTGATAGATAGACCAGACTCAAATCGTCTGCCTCAGCTAAGGAAATGGTTCTTGTCTTAAGTGACTCTTACACAACTATTTTTAGTGCTATGTAAATCACTGATAATTTGGCCAGTGATGGATCTCCGTCATTCCGTGTCTCCTGTCATTAAACCCAGATATGTCATTTCCACCATCAGAAGAGTTTGACAGTTGAAATTTAGAGACCCATAAAAAGGAACTCTCTGTAAATCAGTGCTTATTAGACATTTAGCACGCAATATGTTGGCATTTAAGAAAAAAACTTAAACTTCTCTTTAATTATTATACATTTGTTTATTTGTTTGTACAAATGAGAACAGATTAGGGCTGAAACTGGACTTTCTAAGACATGAATAGCTCTACCATAAACTCGAAGTAAATTAATATGTATAGTGAGCTTGTTTGGGTTTTGTTGTTGTTGTTGTTTTACAAATGCACATTTGAAAAGCGTGGCATGTATCGGTTTTCAGCTACATTTATTCTAATAATGATAAATACAATGTGGCGTAGCTAATCACCCATAAAAGTCTCACTAGTGAGGCCACCTCTGTGATATTTAATATATGTTTGTTTTCTACATATAGTTCATTAAAGGAACAAAAAAAAATAAATAAAAATACATACAACCTAGACATACACCCTAAATCCAACCTAGCATGTTCTCAGTTTGGCCATATAGGTCAAATTCTCAAGAGTCAAGTATGGATATCAAATCCATCTATTGTTTACTGTTTACTATATTGTTTAATTTATTGTTTACTAAAGTATACTTTAAGTATACTTTAAGTATACTTTAGCAAACTTAAAAATGTCCCAATTTAGTTCGAAGAAGTATTACTTTAGTAATACTTTAAGTACACTAAAAGTACATTGTACTTATACTTAAGTGTTCTTAATAGAATTTACTTCAAGTATACTACTTTTTCCTAATGGAGGTCCGGAATCAAGTTCTGGAAAGGTTTAAAGTATGGCTCGGTTATAAAAGTTATCCTAAGTTTGGACAGTCTAACTGTTTACTGTTCAATCATTATCAGAAAATAAAGATAATATGGCAGAATTAAAAACTTTTCTGTTGTCTGAGTTGGTTGATCATGCATAAAAAGTTTTTGGATTTCTTTAAAAATAAAATAAAACAGATTTGACTACGTGTGAGGTTGTAAAAGTGACACTGAATTTAACCAAATCACGGAATTTTTTATTTTAAACAACACACACAAAAGTTTCCGAATATAATCAGCTAGTTCTGTGATTTTACTTGTGCCATAGCTTCGGTTTATTTTCTCAAATTATAAAGGAGACACGTGGAACCTTTCTTTTTTGGTTGTTTCTGCCGTGTCCTTTTACATGTACACTCTGGAATTTTTGTTACCTTAGCAACAGTCCGCACGATAGCAACATCGCACTTATCAAGGAAATAGCAAATGTAACAATTCGGACTACTAAAAGATGATCTGACCTCTTACTCCACGGTAGCCGAACATAGCGAACCGTTTTGTTTGTTTCCTGTTCAAAATGTCTTCTCTGGAATCAGCTCGTCCCTCTGATGAGGATGAGTTTTTTTACATGCAGTGTCGAGCTGCTTATTTAGCCGTTTTCCGATCAAGCTTGGCAAACATCTGTTCAAAACAGCAGTTATGTCGGGGTAAGAAATTATTTTATCTCTTCATCAATTTGCTGCTCAACATTGTTTTTATTATTTTCCTTGATGTAAGAAATTCTTTAGTGTCACATAAATGCAGCCTCGTGTTATAAGTCAGTTGTAAAAATAAATAATAGACCATCCTGTTTTTATTCACTTTCTTGCTTATTTTAAGATATAAAGGGAAATAAATAATGACTCCCTCAAAAAAAAAAAAAAAAGATCATTATCCCAAAAACAGTATTTTAAGGCATTTCAGGTTTGCTTTAGGGTCTGTATTAACCATATCATACACACAGGAGTTAGTATAATGTGCAATTAATATTTAATGACCTGTGCAATAACCTATATATAACCTATATATATATATATATATATATATATATATATATATATATATATATATATATATATATATATATACTGTGCAATAACCCTGTATATTAATCCTGCAATGAAAAAAGCTTTAGCTGTCATATATGGATGCACTGTATATACTGTATATAAACGTGCACCTTTTTCTTCCTTTGGCACATTCCTCTTCTCTTTTTGACTATTTGAGCTGATGTAACGACTATTTCTCCTCTGTGAGATCAATAAAGTCGATCAATCCATCAATCAATAGTGCTTGATTGCATAACAATTTGTTTTTTATGGCAAAGGTAGGATAATTGTTTTCATGGCTGTAAATAGAACCTTAAAAATTTGGAATTTCAGTGAAAAAGCTGACATAGCTCTGAGTGAGCCATCTTTATTTTCCATAGTCTTTACATTTAAAGCAAACTCTAATGTTAAAGTTTTAATCACGATCACTTCTAACATGAAACTCAAATGTTAAATAGCAGTTATTTTTTGTTCATTTGAAGATTTAGGTATCTCTGGTTATGCACACACAATAACTAGTATAAATGTACGATATAACATTCTTAATCTTATTAGTCTGCTACTATAGTTTGACTACGATTAGTAAAGTTTGAGGATAAACATGAATTAATGAACTAAGAACTTTATTGCAGACAATCCACTAAAATAGAATATTTAACTCACAAAAATTATGTATGTTTAATAAATATATAATTAGATTGCATGTATAACTAAATGCTCATGTCTAAAACAGAGTATGAAGAATTGAGACCTATTTAATCATATTCCTTTAACACCAATAATCATCCTGACTCCTATTTAAGGTAGTATTTAAGTACTTAAGGACAAGACAAAACTGTAAAGCAGATTTGTAATATCACACTACTGCTACTATAGCAGTTTTTAATTATTTGTTTTTTTAAATAGATCATCAGCTTTGGGTTTATCTGTTGTAGCTGCACAGTTCTTCAGCTGTGGTATGAGCACAATAAGCTGGTTTCAGTCTCCCATGATAAAATAATTAGCCTTTAAGTCATTCTCGTCAAAATGCCAAATATCTTTAAATTAACTTTTTATGGCAAATTACTATGGCGGCATGGATAACCTTTGATGTTGATGCACATTTTGAAAGATATTTTGTATGTCTCCACACTTTTTCTTCCATCTGTGCTTTTAGTCAGTTCTTTTTCCTTTTTTTACTTCTAAAAGATGGCACGTTCCTTTACACATTTATTTTTGTTTAGTTCTCCAGCAGGCTGGTAGGAATCCATCCCATGCTACTCTCAATAAATACTGGACATCTAAAACAACTAAGCTAAACTTTGACGACTTCTGCGAGATTCTGAAATGTGAGAGAAAAACAGAGGAAGCAGAGCTAATAAGGGCTTTCAGAAAACTGGATGTAAACAATGATGGCTACCTCACACACAGCGTACTGGAGAAGGCTCTAACCTCTGTGAGTAAAGTCAAATATTTACAGAAATAGGCACATTTTCAGCAAAGTACAGAATTTTCTCTGCATGTAACTTTTGACTCCAGTTTTTGATACAGTAGTTAATGATTGTTTTAATTTAGAATTGACATATTCATTGCTTGCTTTGTTTTTTCAGGAACCCCTTCATTACCCCTCTTTGTTAAACCTTTTAGACAGAACTCTGCAATGAAAAAGTCCACCTTTAGCTTTTCTTCCATCTTTTATCATGCTCTAACTACACCAATGGAGAATAGAACATATTTTGTGACCTAAGGCTACACGCCATGCACTTTGTTTAAAATGTATTTTAAAGTAATTAGTTACAAATAGCCTTCACCACGTGCTTTTTGTTCTAAAAACTGAAAACAGAAATAAAACTTTTTTTTTTCTATATTCATAGGGGTTACTGTGCAGACTTTGCAACTTTTTTAAATAGCAAATTTTATTTTTTGTCATGTGAAGTCAAATACTATGAAAAAGATGGCACAATAACCCATCCATCCATCCATCCATCCATCCATCCATCCATCCATCCATCCATCCATCCATCCATCCATCCATCC